GAGAGAGAGAGAGAAGGGTGGCCGCATGCGAATGCCAATAGCAATCAGTAATTTAATTGTGAAGGGAAAAAAAAAGAGAAAGACGACAAACGCTCCGTACACACGCGTACCATAGTGCTCTTGAATAATTTCGTGGATGTGATAGACTTTAGATGAGACAATTGACTATAGAGTCGCCGTGCGGAGAGGAAATCGCATCAACAATGCAAAAAGTGTCTTGGTGTGAGGCAGCTGCGGGCCATCTTCCTCGCGAGGAAGAGGAGACAGCCTGTAGCGTCTCATCCCATAGACGCGTCCCGTATGTACAAAAAGAAAAAAAAAGAAAAAAAAGATAGAAATCCACGAAGATAATATTACCTTATATAGTACATACATACAAAAGCAATAAGCATCATCTCGCGCGTAGCGTTCTTCGTATTATATTACCGCGAATGCGAGCGTCGGGAATGACAAATGATATATCATAGATCGTAATCTACTTATCCATCGTTATAACAAATATTCGCGCGCATTCATTCGTCATTAATTATCACGATTTACCGAATGAAACGAGGGAGCGCGGTCGGCATCACCGATGGCTCTCCCTTGACCAATTAGCTAGTTTCTCATACTTTCATCGTATTAATTTAGGAGATACCTATAGAGCGCGGCAGCCAAAGAGAGAAACGTTTTATCGCGCTTTTAAATCGCGCTTTTTTTCTTTTTTCTTTTTTTTTTTTTTTTTTAACAAAGAAAACCCGTGCAAGACTACTCGATCACTCCGAGTATACACACCACACACACACACATATATATATATATACATTCCTTTCACAGAGAATACCGTATAGTTCATCAGACAGACTTCTAGCGTTAAACACACAGTAGCGAGTATTGATTGTATTGTACGGCGGCTCTAGTCGAACGAATATACCTCCGTAATTGTCACTACGCACAGAGTGATTTACATTACTTAATTTTAACTTAACGTCGGTACCTACTAGACTATTGTTTACATTTCTTTTTTTTTTTACGCCGTTTACCTCAAAGACTATATCTTCACGCCCGGTATATGAATATATGCGCACGCGCGCGTGTATACAATTTTTTATATATATTATATATACAGACAACATATACATATACATATATGTATACACATATATTGCGTGTGTACGGCACACACACACACACACACACACACACACACACACAATATATATGTATATATAAGGCCAAGACATTACATTCTTTATTTTACACCTAATATATACAGGAGGAGAGAATTCAATAATTTTATTCATTTATACTATCGTCGTTAATTGTAATGATTATGTATTAAGAAGACTATTAATTTATTTTCTCTCGCAAATCCTTTCATCTCGTTCCCCCTCCTCCTCCTTTCTGACTTAGATTTATTATCTCGAGGCGACAATTATTCTTTAGGGTGCAGTTACTTTGTACATACTTTTATCTGCGATTGTATATACATATTACATTACCTGGGAAGAACATTAAAATATATATACATATATATATTTTAATATATTACATATAATGAACTACATGAAATTATAATCTTATTGTTTGAAGTAATAAGACTAAATACACTAAATATTTAATAATACTGTTGACCCTTCTTGAACACGTCGTCTTGTTGTAACCACTGATTCAATAAAATTAAGACAGTGTACAAATGCACATTTGGTGTAAAGAAAGTATATCCCTTCTGCACCGTGGATGGAA